ATGGTTGCGAACTATTGGAACAATATCTTTGTGCCTTTCTGAGCTTTAATCATAAATATATAGTTACTTCAGCTAAGTCAAAGATTCATGAGAATTCAATTCAGGTTCGCTGTACTGACCCTTTACTATACGAAAACCGCACTCTTTCTACATAGATATGCAGTATACTATATGTACATACATGTATGTATGTGCATATGTATTCATAAATTGCATTTGATTACATTTTATCATAAATTCTTTGTTCGGTTCGCAATGCATTTTAAATGACTGAGATGCCTTTCTATTAGTAATGTAAATAGTAAACATTTTAAACAGAGTTTTTGAACTGCTTTGCTTTCTCTCATTTGTCATGATTGTCTATCATTGATAATTCTGAGAAATTGATAACGTCATAGAGCGTTGCTTTTCTTTGTTTTAAACAAATGATTTATGTATACAGCCTATTCAATATTTAATAGTTTCACTTTGTTGAATTATTTATTTGTGCAATAAATTGCTTAAAATATAGGTTACTATTGGTTTTGCTAACCTTTGAAATGGTTGGTAGGATCAGTGCAAAAACTAGTTATATTGCGAAGATTTCTTGAACACGCTAAATTTCTTTCATTTGCTGAAGGCTGAAAAGCAAACCTCAGCTGTCTGTACCCTCGTGTCCGATAAGGAATGTCAAACCATTGCCGGGCTAAATACATATAGTCTGAGTAGTAAAAAGTGCAATCATATATCATGGCACTACAAAGGAAACTTGTGTCAAATTTGAAGAGCTTCGTAAGTTAAACTGTTATACAAGTACAATAGTATACTGTTCTCTGTTCACACTTTTTGAGCATTCTGTTTATTTTTGACTTCTAAGAACTTGTCATAAACTTTTTCATCTGGTCTATTCAATGATTCTACATTTTAACACATCCTTACATTCTTACTTTTCAAGTCTTTGTGTAAAACATTTAAGATTTTTACTTTTTTTTACTTCTGATCTTAATAATTTTTTCTACCTATTTATGTGTGTGTAATTCTTTTTTATTGCCCCTTGATCATTAGAGGCTGTGACGTGCATTTGTTTAGATTGACACAACTCGTATGTGTTTGGACGGCTTCAATCATTTGTTGTTATTACTGAAGTAAAGTGCTTACAAACCCGACGATAATGCATACTCCCTGATCGCGTTCAATTATCTAATTTTTTGTCGTTTCACAATTCCGAACATATTGAAACGTGTATAGTAGAGCTCGCAACAACCGTTGATTTTCAAAGATTTTTAAAAATGAGCGGAACAGTTAACAATTTGATGGCTTGAAGGCTATGAGTTTACTTTTAGATTTAAGTTTAATAACATTTATACTCGTGCGCGTTCCAATAAGTGTGTACTAAGTATATCTACGATCTCAGTGAGAACGTAATTGCAAAATTATACACGAAACGTGCGCAATTTGATTTATAAATCAGTTTCATAAATAAACTCCTCACGCCGAACAAACAAGTGAGGGAAAAGTCACAATTGTTTGTTTTCATTTTTTTTTGCATTTCTCATCATTCAGGGCATAATATAGTATAACAAATAGCTCTACAAATTTACAAAACTCATTACGGCTATGACATTATTGTCTTATGCAAATGACTGTAAACTGAACACGAGCTCTATATCAGCCGATCACATTTAATTTGATAAACCAACACAATTCAAATGCCTTAATAAATGCCGCACCCAGCACAAGGCACAATTTTAAAATTGTTAATTGTTTGTGGAAATCGCCAAGAATTTGTCGTCTTCCATACATACATATGCTTATTATTTATGGAAGGGCTTGAATTTGCGTCGAACCCGGCAATGATACGTAATAGGTAGATGATGATAAGCCAGCAACGTACTTATCTATTTTGGACATGTATTTTATTGGCATAATTAGTGGGAATTAGCATTGCCATTGCCTGTTCGAGAAGAGCTGCAAGAATCGATACGAGTTGGTTGGAACACAGTCCGTTGCGATCTTGAAAGAGAGTGAAACGTGGCGCCACATAAATTGATTGAGAGAGATATATAGTACAAGTAGATATGGTCTTACAACAGCTTAGTTATACAATTATAAATTAGAAGATGCGCTCTAGAGTCTTGAGATCAAGATAGCATATACTAGTACAAGCTATAAATATGTCTAAATTTAGACATTTCAACATCGTTTAAGAGCAGTTTAATTTATACCACAAGGAATGAAAAATGTCAATGATAATGATATTTCCATTATTGTTTGTGTCTGCCGTAAATTTGTCAACTAAGCTGGTATGTATAGTACATCTACAAGTATAAAGTGAAAGATTGTAGTTGTCAGATTTGTTACTCACTGCAGCCAATTGGCCAGTGAGTTTAAAAACTTTACGTTTGGAAATAGGGGTTCAGTAGCGTATTCTTGACTTATAAACATATGAAGTTAATTCACACATTTTAATTGCCATATTTTCATTTAGGAAATGAAAATCTATGTTATGGATTAAATTGAAGAGGTACTTATTTCTATAGTAGAAAGAAGTTATTGACATTTGAACTGTTTTTCTTTATTAAAGGTAGGTGAGGTAAAGCTTCTGTGGTACATGGAGAAATTACATTACTTTGTGTCACAAAAGATTAAATAGGATTGCCGTTCAATTAAAAATAATAATCTTTATAATTACAGAAAATAAAATGATGTGTTTTATACAAATGACGAGCTTATAAAATGTTCAAATAAATGTTTTGAAAATAAAATAAATACAAATCTGTATGTATAAAATAATCTTTATAGTATAGCGGGCATCAAAGCGATTGTTAATTAACTATAATTTAAATCTTTTAGAGAAATGAGAACCGCTGGAAAGGCTTGCAATGTATTGTTTATATTTCATTAACTTTTAACTTGTTTTTTACAGCATATGGCTGGAAAAGTTTTCACATTTCTAAAATATAAATCACAAGTAAAATAAATTACGAGCTGAAGGCCTCTATTGCCATAGCTTAGAAAAAAAATAAGCTAGCCTATAATTTTATTATTATTAAGTTAGCTCTTAAATAAAAATAAATTACTTAAAGTTCACCAAAACATTTCAATTGAAATATACTTGTATGCATAGAATGATTTCACTTTTCTTATGTAAAACTGAACTTACCTGCAAGACCTTTCGGTTTTGTTTCTGCTAACGAGCGTTAATTGTAATTTTTCATGCTTGACAGCCACATCTAAAATTCACACCTTTCGCATTGCAATGCCAACATCCCCAGTGGCTTATGCAAATGTCACGTTTTGTATTAAATACACCCTTTTTTGTTAACAATAATTGCAATTTATTTACGCTGACAGCGCACACACAATCCAATATTATTACTATTATTTATATGCGCGTCATATATCGACGAATGAGGCAAAAAGTCGGGCGAACTCAAACGCAATTTTTGTTGTTGTCTATTTTCGAAACTGCAAACGTATCACCTTTTCTAAACCACAGTAACAATAGCAACAAGTTTGTGCAAAACACTTGCTTCAAAGCTGAAGGCGTGCGACTAAATGTAACAGAAAAATAAATATATATTCATGTATATGTGTACATATATACGCAAAAGTATGTGTGTACATACATATATGAAGATGAAAACAGTGCTAATGCATTGGCTATTGACCAAGTCAATGTGTTTACAGTAATTTGAATAATAATTGCATCTAGAATGGACACTTACACATTCCCATTGCACAGCTGCAAATTTTTATTGTCTCGGAAATGTTTGTCGATCGCGATCGCGCGTCTGATCCCAGCAGTTACGTCAGCGGATTGTTTATATTTTTGTGTTATATATGTATGTACGAGTAGTTTGTAAGCATCTTTGGAATGCATAAGAAGCAAGGGTTGGCATCGTAAAATATTATTCAATCTACTTGATGTTTGTGGAATCGTTTAATTATGTAAACCAGACACTTCCCAAATGCCCTTTCTCAAATTATGTTCCTGCTTTTGCTTATTTTGAGTACTAATTCAAATAACCTTATAACTTAAAATTGTTGAACATCAGTCGATAGTCTTTTGATTCAGCATTATTTTTTTTTTGCAGATGTTTTTATTTAAATGTTCTTAAATTTAGCAAAATATTCTAGAACAGACAGAAATGAAAAATTATTGACAGTTAAGATCGCAATTAGCTGTAATTTAAATTTAGGTTGTAGTAAATATTTTAAAATTATAGAGCAGTTTTAATTTACCATTAACGAATCATTTATTTTCCACAATTGTTAACAAATTGATTATGATATACACCTAATTCTGATTTTACGCGGTCGTTTTTTACACGATTTTTATAAAAAACGGTTTGAAAATTAAAACATTCATATGTTTCTTTAGAGATAAGGAACCAATCACCTATTTTTGCATATGATCAATGTCTTTTCTTACACGGTTGTTTCTGAAAACAATCTACCGTGTAAAAACAGAATTAGGTGTATATAAATCATTTAATAATTGCCTTCAACTTTGTTGACATGCTGGCTTGAATACAAAGTTTTAGTGTCAAAAAGTTGACTACATTCAAACATACGTATTCGACTAAATTCAAGCAGTGCAAACTTGAAGCAAGCAGTTTCATTTCAACCAGTTAGTTGAATAGGGTTGCCCATTAACAGTTTTATTTTGTAAAGAACGAAATATAATATACTGGCTAGACAATTACGGCTTTTAAAATATACATACATTTCATTTTATTCCTTTAAACGACAATCCAGTCATTTGATTTTTGAAACCCTCTATAACATATTCTTCAATGTACTTAAAATTTGAGAAACTTTTTAATATCTGGAAAAATGCACTTCCCAACCAACAGAAAATTGCAATAAAACACAGTAATAATTATTTTGCTTAAAGTACATGTTATATTTTATTATTTTTGTTGTCTGTTTTTGCCACCATTACGTAACTGACAATTAAATACGCAAATACTTGTACTTTGGCAGCAAAAGTGAAAGAAATGGAGAAATTGACTCGGTGTAGTTTTCAGATTTGTATGTGTTTGTATTTTTTTACTTGCCAAAATCTTGCGTGAGGTGTGTGATCTTAAATAATATACCTAAGATTTGTGTACGAGAAATTAGAAGCTAAAATAATATATTTTACGAATGGTTTGCTGAATCTATTACTACCGACAAGTGCCTTTGTCCGCTGGTTAAAACAGTGTTCGACGGATGTTGATAGCTGACAAAGTTAGGGTACCTCCATTAACAATGGGCCATGTAAGGAATAGGCGTTATAACTATGAAGATCAGCAACTTAAATGCGGCGCGAGAAGTAGCCGCCATCGCCGCCAGCACCACCGCCGCCGCCGACACCACCACCACCACCAACGCCAATGCCCATGTTGCCTGCCATATTGCCAATATTGTTGCCGCCAACGACAGCGCCGCCGCCTCCAACCCCACATCCACCGTTAGAGTTGCGGCGTGTTTTTCCATCGTAGAACAACTCAATATAACGTGATCCCATCTGTTCGCGATGCCGTTTCATGGCCAGCTGCGAGTCCTCGTAGGTGTCGAAGTAAGCATCTGCGGTGCCACTGTGTAGTCCTTTCTTGTTGTAGTTGATGCGCACATTGGCTGGACGTATAGGCTCGAAGAACTGCAAGTTAATTATAAAAAATAAAATTTGTAAAAAACCCAGACATTTCTTCTTTTTTGTGTGATGAAAACATACCTTAAATACATCGTTTTCAAACGAGGTATACGGCAGACCACGCATATGAATGGTATAATATTCGGAATCATTGTTTCTGCCACCTCCGATGGGTCCAAAGTTTCCTCCACCGATTGCTCCGCCAAAATTGTTGCCGTTATTGAAACCTCCTCCATTATTGCCAAAGTTTCCACCACCGCCATTATTACGGAAATTTCCACCCGCATTATTGCCAAAATTTCCAAAACCGTTTCCACTGTTATTACCAAAGTTGCCGATGCCAGAGTTACCAAAATTGCTGCCATTGTTGTTTCGATTGTTGCCAAAGTTGTTAAAATCTCCGAAATCATTACCGAAATTTCCACTGTTACCCCCATTGTTGAAGCGGTTGTTGCCGCCGAATGCGCCATTGTTTCCGAAATTATTGCCGCCGTTGTTGCCAAAATTACCAGAATTTTGGCCAAAGTTGCCACCGTTTTGTCCAAAGTTGTTGCCTGCATTGTTGCCACCAAAGTTGCCGCCACCATTATTTCCGAAATTTCCAAAGTTGCCGCCGCCATTGTTGCCTCCAAAGTTACCACCGCCATTGTTGCCAAAGTTACCACCGCCATTATTTCCAAAATTGCCGGCAGCATTGTTGCCAAAGTTTCCAGAATTCATCAAGCTTGGCAAATTGTTGAAGCCAAGCATATTATTGGCACCAACACCAAAGTTGCCGTTGTTGCCCCAATCTGTGGAATAACATAATCAATATTACTTTAAAAAATTTTTTTTTTTTCAATAAAAATAAATCGAAAAAGTGAAATATTTTGATCACCAGCCAAAGACTGATTTTCAGTTCTATTAAAAGGTACTATGTAAAAATGGATGTATAAGAGTTTCAAATACTGTACAATAATTATAATTATTTAAAATTCGGGTCATGGGTACAATTTTAGAAACGTTCTTTGCAATTTTAATTGAGTGTGACTTTCTAGATGAAGAACCTTAAAATTAGTTAGTATTTACTTGTTTTTAAAAATAATAGTTTTATATTCAAAACTCTAGTTTTGTAAAAATATTTATTACTCACCATTCCGGCCTCCGAAATCATTTCCGCCACGATTGGCACCACGGTCGCGTATATCATAAGGTCCAGGACGTCCACCGCCGGCGCCAGTGGCGCGCTTCATTTCAGCAATAGAGCTGCGGAATATCTCAATATACCTATAGAGCAGGCAAACGAAAAGATTACACATAGGGATTTAATAGCGCTTCTCCAAAAACAAAACTTCAATGGCGGTAGTTTTTGCTTTATGGTAATAAATCAAAAAAATCATTATGCATATTTTGGTTGTTAGAAGAAGAACACGACGGACGAAAATGCAATTAAAACTAAATTCTTGTCGTTGAAGGAAAGAAAAGCCATTTGACAGTTAACAAAAGACCAATTATACAAATTTTCCGTTATTTCCAGTTTACAATGAGCTATCAAGAAGCTTTCCTTAGTTAATGTTTAGTTATTTGTTTAACATATATGTATTTTGTAAACGCTTCATAATTTGTTTTGCACTGATAATAAGCACCCAACCAGACCCATTGCCAGTTGCTATGCCCTATTAAATTTATTTATTTTTATTAATTGGTTCAAATACTGAAAGAGGAATATATATTTATATATATGCGTTAGGTTTGAGAATATAAAATATATATGAATATAAAATATTGCCTGCATGTAAATAGCAACAATTTAAGAAAATCACAGTTTGAATTTTTGTTTTTATCATTAATTTGTTGTTTGTTGTTGTAAAATGTTGTAGAGACCCACCTGTGCCCAATTTTTTCCCGATTTCGGCCCAAGGCTTGTTCAGTGTCATCCTGGCTTTCGAACTGAACAAAAGCTTCCCCAGTTGCACGACCCCTTCTGTCCATAACAAAAAGTATGCCCTCCCGATCCGTTTTGATTTCCAACCCTGCCCATGACGATAACCAACAAAGATTTATACAAATATAAATTTATATATATATAGATATATAATGCAAAGTTATGGTGCTAAGGAAAGAGAGAGACATAATAGAGAAAGTGTAAAGTGTTCTGGTTGTAAAGCAAACTGCAGCAGTTTCCATAATCAATTAATTATATAAAAACAACCAAAATTACACCAGCTCACACAGACAATTGTGGTTGACTAAATGAGCACACATTTACTTAAATTAAGGAGATCTACCATATATTCATAAAAAACTAAGACCATTAAATAAAAATGAAAATAATATGACTATGTAAGTACAGTAAAATCAAAACAAAAATTTCCCAAACAAAAAACGAAAGAAAAAAGACTGCTACAAATTCATTGGGAAAAATTCTTTCATTTTAATAACATTGCCGATAATGAAAACTATTGTTTCCTTTTACTTGAGTTTTAGTAATATATTCGGCAATTACATAACATATTTGGTTAGACAACTTGTTAGCAACATAAATTGTTAAATTCTGTTGTGTGTTATTGTATTGTGGACATTTTGTAGCGCCCCTGGTCGTTGGATGCAAACACCCCAGACGTTGGGAGCTCTCAACTTATAAATGATCGGGTTCCATTGTACCCATTGGCTCCTTACAATACTAGTTTAAATTGGTCAAATGGCAGAAACAGATAAACCGCCACAAAGGAGGTTCTTGTTTTAACAAAAATTTTGCATGCAATAAATCAACCATGACTATACATTGAATATCGTTGTTTGTTGGCTCGTTGTCGTTTTTATTCGTGGCCCACTAAACTTAGGCGAACGTGATGGATCACTTACCGGAAAAGAAATCCTCGACTTGCTGTTCCGTAACGGCATATGGCAGACCGCGCAACTTGACAACAAATGCTGAGCCATGTCCACTGATCTTACGCATGGCTTCGCGTGCCTCCTTTGGCGTGGCGGTGAAAACTGTGGGAAATATAGTCATTTATTTAATGACCATTGTGTTCTTTTATAAGATTCTTATTACAGCTTACCCTCAATATAACGATGGCCCATGCTGGCCTTATTTAATTTTCGCGCCTCCTCAACATCTTCTTGGCTAGCTACCTCAACGTAGGCTTCGCCTGTGTTTTTGCCATCCACACGACTGGTGACCAAATGTATGCCCTGCGAGCCATTATTGACGTTCACATTCTCAAGGAAGTTCAAGATTTCCTGATGGGTAGCCGACCAGGGCAAGCCACGCAAGCGTATGTACTTAGGACTATCGCCGACGTTGGAAATCTTGCTATTGTTACCATTACCGCCGCTATCGTCGTCACCGTCCTGGTCATCGCCATCCTGGTCGTTATCATACTGATTGTCATCGTCCTGCTGCTGGCTGTTATCATCATTGTAGTCATCACCGTTGTCCTGGTCGTCATAATGCGGATCGTTCTTGGCTGCCATTGCGTTGTTTTTGTTGTTGGTTTTCTGCAGGCCAATCAAGTTCAACAAATTAGCGTGGGTTTACAAAAATACAATTCTCAATAAAAACAAATTTGGAAAAAACGTGCTCTTTTTTCCTGTTTTGTCAACTTGTGTAGGCGAAAACGATCTTTTTATGGCGATGCATTAATTTTTTCAGCCGGTTGCTGAAATTTGCGGCGTGTACGCCATTTTGCTTTTGTCGCGTCGGCGGCGATGCCGCAGCCCCGCTCCTAACACTGTCTACTTCTGTGTTTGTTTTTCACAATCAATTCGCGCCATTTCAATACACACATTACACGGAAACATGCAGGTGTTTATTGCCTTCTTACCTTACTTAAATGTTTAATAATTTTTTTACGGTCTACAACTTTTTTTTATGCACTACAAAAGTCAAGCGAAGAGCACGAGCTCAGCACTAGATGTGAATCTTTCGCTACGATACTATCGAGTGTTCCGATACGAGTAACAAGTTGGCAGCACCATAACCTTTTGGGAATCAGTGTTGGTCAAGGCATTCAGGCTGTTACATTTAAATAACTGCAAATAATCAAACTGGTCTAGATTAAAAGCGTTACGTTGATTTATTTATTTACGGAGCTAACATAAAGTCAAAACTATAAGATAACAAGGAGTTTCTAGCCAGACTACAAGGATCTTAAGCTATATTATGTTGGAAATGGAATTAGTTACCTAAGTTTTCTTGTTGTTAGGAATAGAAAAGCAAATTACTAACAATATACTTATTAAAAATGTACACTTTCATCAAAAAAATTTGTTTTGCATATTTTCATCATAGCATCCTGTTGCAATTCTGGTAGATGGTGGGAAATGCTGGTCCGCATAGGAGCAAGGAAATATATTTCAAGGCTGCCCTGGACTTGCGCCTTAGCGGCATTTATATTTGTAAGCGTGAATATGTCCGAACTGGTGCTTAAGGAAGGATTTGAAAAAGGATTTGTGAGCTGTTGCGTTGGCCAAACACACTCACACAAGCTACACACACACACACACACACATTTGATTTTAGTCCTTTGCACGAACATTATGTTTGTCTTTAATAACTTGTATTCGGATTTTTCTGCACGCTTTTCGCCATCGCGTAACATACGTGAAATGATTTGATGCTTGTCTAAAAATATATGTTTATTTTTTTATGCGTGTGGATTATCCCAATATGATTGGCATGCAAGAGAATGGATGTTTGAATGTTTTTCATTTCAGAATAAATTGATTTATTTTCAGCATTTCTATTTTATTGTTTTTTGTTTGATTTTTTCTGCGAAATTTCAAAGTTTATTTTTAATTAAGGGTATGATTTATAATGCGCATATAGATTTTCAACCATGATTTACTTTTTAAAATAACGAATGTGGAATTTTAGTTCAATCTACATTGTATGGCCAGCTTTTGACATTTCTTGCACATTTACGAAATCTGCAAATGGGTATCCAAAGTGACCCAAATCAAGACCAATTGTTTGTTTCTTCTCAATTCCACCTCGTCTGATGGTGCGCTGCTTCAGTTGGGTCTGCGGCCTCAGGCGTCGGCAAGTGTTAAAATATTTGTGATGCAGCATGCCTCGAGGATTCGTGTGACCACGACGTGGCACATAATAAGTCTCAAAGTGTTCTGTGGGAAAGAGTTTCACGATTTGCATAGCGATGCTGTTGAAGCTGCTTGGCGGCATTGGCACTCCCTGCTCTAGGGCTGCGTGGGTAATGGATTGTACGACCAAGCGTCGACTATGGCTATCCAAATAACTGTGTTTTGCATAGAACTTGAGCGCTTTCTGACCACCAGCGCACAAGCTTAGTATTTCATGAACATTCTGTGGAGAAAAATTTATTCAAAAATATGGTTTAATGATGATTTATACATTTTCTTAACGTTAATGTTTCTTAATGTTAATTTAATAATTAATAAAAAAACACCCATTTTTCCCCTCTAGAGAACATCTATACTTTGTTTAAAAGTTTTAATTATTTATTAGTCTTACCAAATTAAATTGTGTCTCGTCTTTTCTTTCCTCATCGGTAGTATAAATATTGTTGCTGCTATGCTCATCCTCTTCTGTATCTTCAGCATCCTCACACTCTTCTTTGACGAGCATTTTCCCCGCTACTATTGTTTCTCCCTCGATTTTAAACTGCGCTTTCCATTTGTGCAGCTTGCTACGAAATATTGCACGTGGTCCCACTTTTGGTATTAGTTCCGATATATCGGCATTGTTTAGGCATTTTAAGGCATTCTCGCATATTTCTTGCTCTGTAAGGCGAATTAAAATTTATTAATTTAAATGAATTTCATGGTTATATATCACTTTATTTTATAATTGTACTATGTTAAAATCATTCAATAAATGACTGGCTTTAGAAAAACATAAACATATCTCGTTAGCATGCAAAAAAAAGAAAGAAAATAAATTTGGACCCCAAACCGACTGTTTTTTAGAGCTTTTACATCAAAGTAGTAGTCCAGAATTTACTTTTATAGAAATATTTAATCATTTTAAGCACTTACCTTGGAATTTGGGGCAAAGTTGCGGTAAATTCCAGGATATAAGCAAATCTGAGACCTTCTTTATTTCAGGGTTTGAGATCTCACTATTAGGCAAAGCTGCAGGAGCGCCATATATTTCGTCATCTGTTGATATTGTGGACAATTAAACCTTTTAATTAAATTACAAACTATACAGCTACTTAAGTTAACAACTATTGCAAAGAAAATTTAAAAAATTGTAAGTCATTCATTTCTTCATTAAATGCACGTTTATTTAATAAACAGCATTTAAATCTAATAATTACGCGTTGTACAGCACTATAACGTTGTTTAACCATGTCGCTGCCTACTATCGCGATGTCACGCAAAGTTCGACTGCGCATGCCTGGGTATGGTGAGCGAACTAACAACTTGTCCAAGATACAGAAATGCTGCTCACAACAACAACAATAACAGCTAATGTTCAAAGCTGATTTCGTGGTAGGCACAATTTCAGTTTACATTTCATTTAAATTTCTTGCAGAGCACTTACTTCCATTGCATGTATACATTTTTGTGTTTGGTGGGAATGCTAGATTATTAGCAAACACTTCTGTTAATGGTTTTAAGTCGGGCAATTAAGTTAAATATTAGATTTCAGGCCACTTCAACTAACAACGACAATGTGACGATGACTAAACGACAACGGCGACAATGCGAGAGAAACTTGCCGCTCTCTCACACAATAGAGCAGTGAGTATCAACGGAGCCGAAACGAGTTGCCAGAGTTTCTTAAGTGACAATTTTAAAAATGTTTATATCAAACTATTTAAATTATGCGCGTTTTGTATTTTACAAATAATGTCTAAAATGAATATATTTAAGTGCATTGACTGTCAGCTGACAAGTAAGCTAAATAAATTAGCTTTGTTATTTTGCAATGGCTTTACTCGCATGTTGAATAAAATTATTTTTTCAAACACATATACATATATGTATGTGTTATATGTATATATATATATATATATATATATATATATAAAACTCAACAATATTATTTATTTATGTTTAAGCAATGCCGCTTTCCTTTCCAAGGAAATATATTTTGTCATTCAATTTGAAATTATTTTTGAAATCATAATAGCAAATATTTTAAAATTTATTGATTTCTTTTAGTATATATTTATTCCTAAGAATATTTGTAAAGAAAAACTTTAACAGATAACATTCTTTAAATTATTTTATTCAAGATCAGTCTAGCATATCGAACAATCCAGCTTGTTCGTTTTTGTTTCGTCTTGTCATTATATGTACATATGTAACTTTTTTATCGTTTATTATTCTTTCTGGGTGTTATAAGTCCACACATTACGCGTGCATTTTTCAGTGAAGGGTATGAAAGTCGTATGTATATGTTCTACTTAATCGCAGTCCAGCACAAAATTGTACATATCTAATCTTTATATAAAACTTAAAAATGTTCATAGTACATTATTATTAATCATCTACTAAAATGTCAAAAGAAATATATTCCATGGCTGCAAGGGAAAGTCCCTCATAATATTAGTGACAAAGTAAGGTGACGATTGTATTTTTCACCTTAAGTACTCAGAGAGTTCTTTAAATAGAGCGACATTTTCTTGCCAGGACATTTGTAGAAATACGAGTATAATTGCAAATCAGAATTCATGCTCTGACACCTTTTTGTTTTTCTAATTTTATGCATTGGCAAAAACTTTACACATTTTCTCTTCGGTTTCTTGAATCTAGACGATGAAATCTCCAACTGTTCATGAATTCCAGTATAAAAGGCAGAGGGAGGTAGAGGAGCCCTGGAACTTATACCTGAACATGTCATGTGGCTACAAATTTAATTTAAACTTTGTGCATCGGGCCGGGCTACAACGACCTACCTACACATCGTCTCTATTTGGGCTGACTTTGTTTTGCGTTTACATGATTTATTAAATTTATCAATTTCAAATATTTATGCGGTGGTCTGTGTGGGCGTCTACTATATGTTTGTTTATCTTAAATGAGTTGAGACATAATTTTTTGGGTTACAGCGCAGGGCACAGCCCCCAGAGCCTTTATTATTTATAGCTTTTGGTTTTTGATACATTTTATTTGAATTTTATTTTTTAAACGCTTATTTAAAAAAGCATACATGTATAGTAACAACTTTTGGGGAGAATTTTTTTAATGAGAATTGTTAATTTCAATCTATTGGAGTTTAATATTAAAGAAGAAAAGTGTTGAGTATTTCATCTTAATTGAGTTGAGCCACAATTTGTGTAAGATTAAGAGGCCTCAGATAGCTTGTTTACTAATTTTCATACAACTTCAAGCAAGCATTATAGAGAACTCATAAATACCAGATTTGCTCATGCTATCTATATCTTTTTACTGATCGGACTTAAAGCACCTATTTGACATAACGAGCCAACTCAAATGGAACTTCCGATTACGGCAATATAGAAAACTTTTAATTAACAATCTTGGTTATCAATTCGTGGTAAGCAAAACATATTTTAGGACTAAGATTGATTTCTGCATCGACCGTTCCTATTACAACTATATGTTATACTGCACCGATTTTGATGAAAAGGTAGATTATCATGAGGGATAATACAAGATTTATAAATACAAATATTAATTACAATAATTGATCTTCCCTATGACAACAAAAAACGAAAGGTTTCTCTTCTACTTACTAAATTGTATTTAGTTTGTTAGGTCTAATTGGTCATGTTTTAAGTTGATATAACGAATTATTGTTCAATACTTATATTTTGTAATCTGTATTATTAGGGGAAGTTAAAATTCACCTTTAACTAAAAAGGGCCAAGTTTTAGCATCTAAAACTCTTCATAAATTCTTCTCATTTACTAAAATAAAGCCAGTGCATGACTTACGCGTTTGGGATAAATAAATAAAACAGAAAAATAATGGTAAACATAACTAAAGTAACTAAAAGCTTTTAGTTTTGGCATTCAACAAGCTAAATGTAAATAATATTTCACCTTTCAGTGTTGTAGGTGAAGAAAATTCGATTTTTAAAAATATTATGAAAAGAGTTTAAGTTAAAAGCCCTTGCGTATTCACTTGGCCATTTGTCATAATAAAAGGTGAAATTAAAGTGTAAGCAGCCAGAGTCAGCTTTAAATATTTTCTTCTACATGCTAGGGTCACCCAATCAACTTCTGGGCGTGCCTAAATAAATACTTGCACACCTTTTCAAATTTATTGGTTTCCAATTAGTTAAGCAAATTAATTTGAGCGAATTAACTCGAGCTTGCTTCTTGGCAGCGGCATAAATAGATGCCTCAAGTAAATTAGTTATGCGCTTACTTATAATATTCATAGCCAAGCAGCTTTGCCACACAGACGGACAGACAGACAGACAGATGGGGTCGCGTCGATTCTGAGTGCGAAAATGAATTAGCTTGTGCTCCCACAAAAATGTGGACAATCCGACAGACAGCATAATGCTCAGCCGGAATTGATTAATGGCGCGTCCTTGAGATGAGAGGCACCATTTGCTTGGACTCTGCATTGTGTCTATTTTCGGCATGCAACCACAAATTTTGGATAAAATGGCGGACGCTAAAGAAAGGAAGCAGTCCAGGGCGCCTATGGCGTCATCAAGTGGTAGGTGACCCGAACAATTGACTAAATAAAATGATATGATTGATTTAAATTAGAAAATTGGAAACTAACTAGTTTACTATTTTTAGATGTAACTTGAATCTTGATTGATTGAAGGAGTACAATTAATAATTGCAAGTCATTGGAAAATGTATGCTATAAGTGAAAAGCATACATACATATACAAGTATAGTATAGTACTTAAATATACAGTTATCTTTCAGAGGCAGACAGTAGATTTTGAACGCTTTTTTTGTTTATAATTCAAATTAATGGTATAGTGCTCTAAAAATGGTGAAGTTTTGTTTACTAATGTTATATATATACATATATAAATTTATCAATGTAGGCATGCTTGTGACATAATAACTTCGTTTTAAGTTATTTCAACTACTTCAATATGTTTATTTTAATATGTTTATATTGAATATATCGACGTATCGTAATAGAACTATATATACACCTTTGAAAATTACAAATTTTATATATGGTTGCACGACTTTATTCCATTTAGCACGATTCAAAATCACATATGATCAATGTATTTTTTAACACGGTTTTTTATACGACTTTTTCTTGCACCAATCCATAATGGACTACAAATTTTGTGTAGCTCTTCAGCTTTCAAATTTTAAAGGTTTCATTTGCTGGGCTTGAATGAAGAAACTATTCAATCATTTGTCCTAATAGTAATAAAGCGTTTATTGAGACTGCATTTTGTTTAAAATATAGTATTTAAACTCACGGATTGGCTTAAGTTATTATCACAGAAGTAGATGGAGTGCTCTAAGAATGTTTGCACAGCTTTTTCAACAAAGTTCCTTTACTCCACCCAATAGATCCAGAGGTTGCACAAATACTATAAAATAGTTTCCTTTTTCGTTTTGTTGATTCTCAATTTTCTTTTGCTAAAAAGATGCTTCATCACATTGTTTCATGCAAATCCGATCAGTTCAAATATTTGTTCGCTAGTTCAAATACTATATAATCGTATATTTTTCTCAATCATACGGGTAGGCTACAGCAAACGTGCCATGGCATATGTATATTTATTATGCAACGACCTTACTCCATTTTGTCTAACCCGATAGTCGTATCTTAGCTCGTGGGACAGCAGAAGCATGTATGTTTGTATTTGCAAATTGAGTTAAAAATTTGTACGTAAATTGGATAAAGCTGACAGCTGGGTTGTCCTTTTAAGAGCTCTGCTTTTGCCGGTTTTTGGGCGCGAAACTTTGTAAATGTTCCCTTTGTAACCTTTTCACCGACACTTTCGTGACTTGCTAGTGAAATGGTTTGGGAAAATATCACCATTATCAAAGTCAATTTACTCTTGGAAAGTTTGTGTGGCATATAAAGTTTGGTTATATGGGCTGCATTGGTTTCTTTGTAGGCAACGTGGTTGGCTTATATGATTTACCAGAAATCGTTAACAATTTTAATATCGAATTGTTGAGTAAATATAAATATTTATACCAGAAACTCAAGGTAGTTCATGCTGGTACAATTCTAAGAACAAATTGCTTTACCAACCAAATATGCAGATATGTATGTACATATGTACTATGGTTGTTTAATTTAATGATTTTTTCTCGACAGCCACTTTGTTGACTGCCGCTCTTCGTTCTTAAATTGCTGGCAGTTAAACAAATATCAAGAAGCCACATTCCTCGAGGCACGTGTTTAGTAACTTTCCCACAGCAATCGAACAATTCGGAATGCACTGTTCATGGCCGCCCATTTCAGCCATATCATGGCCCCCTCAGCTCACAGGGTAAGCAACATGTTTACTTCTTGCCCGCATCAAAGCCAGAGATGAGCCCACAAATAGATCGTGAGCGGGAATCTTGAAGGTAGACAGAAAAGGGTCAATGATTGAAGTAAATGGCCATTCTTCAGATGCATCTAAAATGAATATTTAAATCAATCCATTTAAAGGTGTATCAATATGATTTTGAGAGCAAAATAATAGTTCCGAAAGTCCACTTTGTGATCCTTCTACATATGTTTGTTTTAGAAATATAATCTTC